CTGTAATCCTAGCTAGCACTGAGCAGTTGAAGGCAAGGTGTTCAGAGGGCTCTCAAGTATGAGGCAGCTTGGAATACGTGAAACCCTGTCTTTAAAAGAAAAATGATTTTTGAAAACATTCAATGAAGAACCGAAAGTAAACAAAACTCTCTGCCCTCGTTCCAAGTCGCAGGTATACTGAAAGGCAATGCAAAGGGCCCACTGTTGGCTGCTGGCACGTAGCAACACTCACGTAGATGTTAGATATTAATGTTACCGTCGGTGATACCATTGTTTGTGGAATGTTCTGCTTTTAGTTTACCTTTAGCCTGATGGAGTTCTGTGGGTTTGAACAAGTTGTTTCATCTCTGTGGGCTCTAGTTTTTAGTTGATTAAAAAATGGCACGATGGGTCTTGATTCTCAACACGTCTTCCAATGCTGTTATCCCATCATCTCTGACTCCTCTGAGGTAATTCCACTTGCCATGGAGACCAACATTAAGGACTTTAGATGATGTCAGGCAATGGTGGTGCACCCCTTTAATCCCAGCACTCAGGAGGTAGAGGCAGAAAGATCTCTGTTAGTTCAAGGTCAGCCTGGTCTACAAAGTGAGTTTCAGGACAGCCAGAACTACACAGAGAAACACTGTAAAAAAAAAAGCCTTTGGATGAGGACTGGAGTTGGCTCACTGGTTAAAAGCAATTGTTGCTTTTGCTGAGGACCTGTGTTTAATTCCCAGCACCCACATTGCAACTCACAACCCTCTGTAACTCTAGGCACCTGGCACATGTGGTGCACATACATACATACATATACACAAAATAATAAGAGAAACATCTTTTAAAAAGTGTTATTTTGTCTTATGAGGAGGCTGGCTGTAGTGGCATCTTATTCTGCCAATAGACTTGGCCTTAGGACGTGGCTTCGGCAAGTTTGCAGACATGACCCCTTATAAGGAAGAGGAGCTCACTGGGACGCTTACTGGGATTGTGGTCTCAGCATCCTGGATTGCAGACCCTGCACCTCCAGGGCCAGAAGACCGCGGCAATTGTTCACCGTCATTGAGTGTGTGCTCCCCAAAACAAGATGCCACGACAGCTGGCTGCCCAAGGACACAAGATTGCTGGTCCATGTCTCCTCTCACGGGAGGGGATGTCAGCAAAAGACAGATGCCCAACACTTCAGGAAGAAAGAGACTGGCCTCAAGCCTGAGCTTGGAAAGACAGGACTGAGCTGAATAATCCAAGTTTCTCTCCCTGACTTAGTCCAGTAAGGTTGATTAAAGTGCAGTTTTCTGAAGAGGCAGTGGGCATTCTACTTAGAAGCCAGCTAGAGTCAGGCTGCCCAAGTTCGAAACTTGCCCTTTCCATTTAGCACCCATGTGACTTCAGTCAAAATGCTTCATCCTCATCCATGCAACGGGCACAACAACAGCACCCTCTAGAGGACGGTTTCGAATATTAAATGCCTGTAAGTCCTTAGAACCAGGCACATGATAAACAGCATGGTTTGGTTTGTGGTAAAGAGGCCTCCCAAAACAGAGGGAAGGGAACATGGCATAACTAGTGTCTGTAGTGTCTGTGTGTGCATGCATGACTCTGTCTTGACCCTGTAACCGACCACTAATTAGGATGTATGTTACCATATAAGGGAGATAAAGGGGCTAAAATGTATAAGGGAACCAACTAATGGAAGATACAGAAAGCCAATGCCAGCACAAATGAATGCTGTTTCCCAGCAGAAAGCTTTTTATTCCATTTCTCTGTCTGAAAATCCCACAACAGACTATAAACTTTAGGCTATTTATTTTTTTCTTGCATTCTTGCACACATGCATGTGTGTGTGTGTGTGTGTGTGTGTGTGTGTGTGTGTGTGTGGTTGCATGTGCATGGCAAATGTATCAGATATGCATTTGAAGTTCCAAAGTTGATTTCAGAAATCATTCTCGATTTCTCTCCTACTTTCTTCAATGAGGCAGGGTCTCTCAGCCAAACCCAGGGCAAGCTGATAAAATCTCTCTTGCCATGTTGCTCTGAGGGCCCCTTGTGTTTGAGATTGAATTATAGATGGGTCACCTTGCTCAACCAGAATTTAGTTATGAGGACCCGAATTTTGGTCATCACCCTTGAATGACCAGCATTTAATCACCGAGTCATCTCTCAAGCCACCCCTGTGTATTTCACTATGATCTTAAGGAGCAAAATGCAGCTTTGGACTTGGTGCATTGAGGACACTTTGTGTATGTGGGTAGATAACTCCTCAAATGTTCTAGAAGCTGTCAGAGGTACCCCATCTGGTTGGAGGCTAATAGAGCATCCCTAAGCTCCTATGAACGCCTCCTGGGGAGCCATGGAAACATGCAAAAGAGACTTTCAGCAGTGGTGCCCGTAATGGGCAGAAAATATGACAACCCAAGCAGGCTACTCTAGAAACTATGTTTAGACCTCTGTTCTTAGGGATCAGATCCCCTCCGGTCTGAGTATACCTGGAAGGGTTAAATTAGTCACTAGGTCCTCAGAGCAATGCATTTTTTTTCAGAGTAGGAAGTATTCTAATACAACCAGAGGACTAAGAATTAAAATTGGATGGCAAAGGTAAATAAATACTAAAATGAAGTTCTTGTAGGGTCCTGTGTGGCAGACAGGAAGCCCCGATTGTGCCTTGATTTAATGTGGGAACACTGGAGAGAAAGGAGGGGCCGCAGGACAGAGGTTTGGGCTCCTGCTTGGATCTCCTGAACCTGCTGCAGGAGCATGTCAACTCATGACAGACAAGGACCTTATCTGCCAGCAACCATTTCAACTACACGGGGCTTGGCTGCCCCCTAGTGTCCATTCCGAGAAAACTATTTTAAAATTGGCAGCATTATGTGAGCTTGTTGGGTATTTGTCCTTCCCCTTTGCTCCTCTCCTCCCCTTCCCCTAATCTTTTCTATTCATTTTATTCTTTCTCCTTTCTCTGAAACCTTGCTCCATTTCATTTATTATGGTCACTTTTACCATAATTAATTTTTTGTTTCATACTTTACATTTTTGCCCTTTTCCCCCTATGGTCACTGACGGTGCTGTAGTAACACACTTTGTATTACTGGCTGTGTAGGCTAGTCTTGTCTACACAGCAAGTTCCAAGCCAGCCAGTGCTACATAATGATACTCTGGCTCAAAAATGTAAGTAAATAACTTACATTTTTTTTATCTGGGTGTGGTGGATTATGTCTTTAGTCCCAGAACTTGGGAGACAGAGGCAGGGGATCTCTGAGTTAGTGTCCAGCCTGGACTACAGAGCAAATTCCAGGACATCCTGGGATACACAGAGAAACCTGTCTCAAAACAACCACCGTCAGCAACAGATGTGGTAGAGGAAATACATTGTGGATGTGAATGTATGGAAACGCCACCACAAAGAGGAGAAACTCAGCAAAGAAGCTGGGGGGGGGGAGTTCAAGCTGACATTTTGGAAATGAAAGGCCAGTGAGGTGACTCTGTGGGTAAAGGCAGTGGCTGCCAAGCCTGATGACCTGAGTTTGCTGTATGGGACCTACAGGGTGGAAGGCGGGGGCTGACTCCTGGAAGCTGGGTTCTGACCTTCTGCCCCCCCCCACAAGCACAAGTCCGCTATGACTTGTGCCCTCCCCGACAGAAAATAAATTAATGCGATTTTTAAAAGCTGAATAAAGCAAACAAGACTACAGTGCAGAATATATTCAGTGTGGTGGCTCACCTCGCAGAGACAGGGAATATTGCCAGAAGTTTGAGGCCAGCTTGTTCTACATAGTAAGTTCTAGGCCAGCCTGGTCTTATCGTAAGACCCCGTCTCAAGAAAACAAAGAGTAGTAGCAACAAAAACAACAGAAAATGTCACCAATAGACTAAATCAAACAGAAGAAAGAATACCGAGGACAATGTTGAGGGAATGGTATATTTTTAACAGCAGTAAAGGAAAAAAAATCACTAACTCAAGCTTGACCACATATTTTATTTGTTTTGGCTTTTTATTTTTATTTTTCAAAACAGGGTTTCTCTGTGTAGCTCTGGATGTTCTTGAACTCACTACGTAGACCAGGCTGGACTTGAACTCATAGAGATCTACCTGTCTCTGCCTCCCAAGTGCTGGGATTAAAGACGTGTGCCACTATGCCCAGCTTCTTCTTCTTTTTTTCTTTGAGAAAGGGGCTCAATGTGTAGATGGGGATGACTTTGAATGTCATGGGAAACCTCCACTGTCAAGGATTTTTGATCACAGTGGTAGAAAAGTAATCAATACACTGTAGATAGACTGATTTTTACGTGTGGGTGGTGGGTGTAAGAGGAGGTGCCTGTGGAGGTCAGAAGACATAGTCAGAATCCCGAAAATGAAGTTGCAGGTGAGCCACCAGATGTGGGTGCTGGGAATCAAACTCAGGGCCTCTGTAGGAGAGTATGCACTCTTGACCACTGAGCCATCTGTCCAGTTCTTGTTATTTCTTTTTCTTTTTTTTTTTTTTTTTTGCTGGATACTTTTAATAAAGTGAGGTTTACATTGTTGATATTAAAGAAGTCATACAAATACAGGAAAAACAAAACCCTCTTAGGCTCAGGTGGGGGAGTCCAAAAAAGCCCATGAGAAACAAAACATCATGCGTAGGGGAGTGGAGTCTGACATGCAGTCAGGTAGCGGGACCTTGAGATCCACTCGGACAGCACAGAGGCCACCCCAGGATGAAGGGGCCCTAAAATTGTACAGAGTCAGATTGTTTTTAACCTTAAAATGTTCGAGCACCATTTTTAATGCAAGCAAGCACGGTGTCCCCAAGGACATGAATGATGGTACACACCCTTTCCAAGCACACACAGGCATGGAACCCGGTAGCCTCCACGGACACACTTGACATGGAACATGAGGTGTTGAGTGTTGTTAGGATGTCATGATCTTCTGTCACACCCAGTGCTGGACTGGGAAACAGAGAGTAATGGCCAGGGACAAACCCTACATAAGGCACTGTCTGAGATAGAACTGGTGGTGTAGTTTCCAGACATCTGACTTTAGCCTTCAGTGGCATTTACACATAAATAGGCATAAATAAAACCATCTGCGCACTGAGGCCCAGGAAGACAGCACTTGCAGAGCAGACCCCGTCAGGGGCTGTGCACGGCTCATCTCAGGCACTCCCTCCCTACAATGTAGACCGACAGAGCCTCTCGCGGGACACCTGGCTGTCTGCATTTACACTGTAGCTTTGGGAGTGTAGAGACTCATTCCCAAAAAAGTATTCTCTATTTAAACCTTAAAAATGACACACACCAATTGTAATTATTTAGGTTATAAATGTTTCTGATGTAGCAGCAGAGGATGTTTGTAGAAAAAATATACTTTTAAGAAAATAGCTGAAAAAAATCTAAAAGTATAAAAAGTTTAAAAAATATATCTTAAGACAAAATATTGCCCACAACATATAAAACTTAATTTTAGAAAGTTCACCTACCTAATTTAAAAGACTAGACACAACTGTGGCCCACCATCCTCCACAGTGATCCCACAAACAGGAAAATGAACCCAGGGCCCAAAGCCTTCAGAGCTCAGTTCCTGACAATGGCTTGCCCTGTCCTCAGGGATGTAGTCAGTCAGAGAGGCGGGGGCCCGCTCTGGGACAAGTGCTTGTCTGTCTCTGGGTCAGGTACAGGTGAGCTCCATGGGGTGTGGCCTTGTCCTTGGCCCCCAGGGCCTCCTCTCAGGTCTCCACCAGAATCTCTACCACATGGTCCAGCTCCGTCAGGTCAGACTTGCAGGTGGAGCTGGGAGGGGGGGCGGCAGCTGTGAAGCCATCGAGGCCGCTGCAGAGACTGGGCTTGGTCCCGCTCATCATTCCCGTCAGCACCGTGTCCAGGTCATAGTAGGAACTGTCCACATCCGAGAAGAGGTCCTCCACGGAATTGGGGTTTTTGTTCTCCAGGGTCTCAAATATGTGGTCCAGTGACTTGTGAAAGCTTCCCCGGTTTTCTTGTGGGCTATCCATCTCCCAGAGGCTGCTCTGAGGGCTCCTTTGCCCCTGTGCTGAGCTGACTATGGGAAGCTCAGAAGCCGAGATTTGCAGGGAACCGTCTTCCAGTTCAGGAGTGGGGTGCTCCCCGTCAGCTGCCCTGGCTGTACGGCACAGGATCTCTGTGGAGACCAGGCGGTCAATTGGTGCCCGTTCTGCATTCTGGGGTGCCATCCCATGCCACACACCATCCCGACTCATCTCCTCCTGGATCTGCCGGACTGTGTTGGCAATAAGGACTGAGCGGCAGAGGTTGGGCTCCACTAGCATGTGGCAGAGCTGGAGCTTGACCAGGGACATGTCCAGGAGCGACTGCCGCTGCAGGCTATAGGAAGGGACAGTGCTAAAACCCTCTACTCCTTCCTCCTGGTCACCGTATTTCCTCTTCAGCCCTCTAGCAAACATCGTGCCCTGCGCCGCAAGGCAGGCCCGCCACCCGGTCGGCGTCCGAGGCCACTCAGCGCCCACAAAGGGTCGCCATGGCGCCGCCGCGCGAGCGCCAATTGGTGGAGCGCGGGGCAGAGCTCCGTTCAAACCAGTTCTTGTTATTTCTATCAAGACTGATTACGTGGGTCTGGAGAGATGGCTCAGCAGTTAAGATCACTTGCTGCTCTGCAGAAAACATGAGTCTGTTCCCAGCATCCATGTGGCACTTCATAGCTGTTAGTAACTCTAGTTCCAGGTGTTCAGACACCCTCTTCTAGCCTTCAAAGACACCAGGCATACATGTGGGGCACAGACATACAAGCAGGCAGAACTCTATGAGTTCAAGACCCAACTGGTCTACACAAGTTCCACACCAGCCAGGCCTGCATAGTGAGACTGTCTCAAAGGTTTTTGTTTTTGTTTCAATTCATTGTGTGTGTGTGTGTGTGTGTGTGTGTGTGTGTGTGTGTCTGTGTGTCTGTGTGTGTGTGTGTGTGTGTGTGTGTGTGTGTGGATTTGTGCTGCTGAGTGCAGTGCATCATGGAGGCCAGAAGAGGGCGCTTGATTCTTGGATCTGGAGTTACAGGTATTTGTGGTTGATGCGGATACTGGGAACCCAATTCAGGTCTTCTGCAAGAGTCATACATGCTCTTTACCACTGAGTCATCTCTCTAGCCCTTGGGGACTCTAACAATTAAAATAATAATAGTGACGTTGTTTGAGAACCTGCATTTTCCTGCTGCCAATTTCCCTATAAGTTACACAGATATTCCATTCATCCAGTATCTGGCAGCCTTGTCCACTAAGCACAAGCTCACAAACCAGACCAACAAAAGGAAGCCTGGAGAAGCTGTGTTTGGGATTCTTCTATGTGTTGGTCCAGATGCATCTGGTAGAGAAACGGGAAAGACATGGTCAAAGTTCATTGTACTCACATGTCCGGAGACAGGAAGAACAGCATGCCACACCACACAGGGCTTCGTGGGAGAGGACGCTGGGTGGTCAGGAAGTCTAGAACATGAGGAAGGGGAAGACTTAGGCCATGCTCTGTAGTGAGGTTTGTTTGGGAAAGGTCAGGCAGGTAGGAGGACAGTCTGGGATTGACCATGAGCGGCTCTAAGATTTAGGGGTGGTCCCCAGTTGCCTGCTGCCTGGCCCCGGGATGGCTAAGGGATGATTAAGGCAGAAGACTATTGTCTCCCGCAGTGTACAGGCCAGATAGGAGAGGGATGCCTGTAGATTGGTTAGCGTGCATATCAAAGGTATGTTCCTTCTATTTCTAAGAACTGGCTATCTCCAAATGAGGCAGTCTCTTCCCACGCCAGGGCCTCTCACGCTGGGTAATCATCAACCGCTGTGTTACAGGTCTGGTTCTCCTACTAGGTTTTGGGGAGGGGTTCACGAGTGTGCCAGGTGTACCTGTGTGTATATGTGGAGCTCAAAGATCACCCTCAGGTGCTGTTCTTCAGGGGCCATCCACCTTTTGATTAAGACAGGGTCTCTTACTGGCCTGAAACTCATCAAGTAGGCTGGGCTGGCCAGGGATTCCCAAGGATCCCTGTGTCTCTGCCTCCTCAGGTTTGGAATTACAAGTGAGTTCCACCACAATTGGATCCTTGTATTTGTAAGACAAGCACTTTGCCAACAGCTATCTCCTTACCCCAGATTTAGTTCTTAAGGATTTAAAAATATTATAAGGAAAACCATGCATATGACTAGAATGCTTCCCATGTCTTCATTGGATGCCATTTGTCCTTAGGTCAAGCCCTGTTCTGAAAGTCTGGCCTTTGTTAGAGTCTATCAGATGGTCAGCAGTCTACAGAATAGCTGCTGGAGGAGGGCCCACAAAAAGCAATGAAATGTGGCAGCAAGGGAGAGAAACAAAAACCAAGAAACACAGACTAAAACCCCACAAAGCAAGGTAGGATGTGTCTATTTCAGAGGTCAAGTGTGGCGGACATCTCTGCAGTTCCCACGTAATTTCAAGCTCTTCCCAGAGTCTCAGATCACATCTTTAGAAGCCAGCCAGGTGAATTACTCAATGGTTACAATGTTATCTCTTTGTGAGCTTTGGGAGGCCATCATCAAGCCCGGAACTGTTTTATCTGTGTGTGTGTGTGTGTGTGTGTGTGTGTGTGTGTGTGTGTGTGTGTGTGTGTGTGTTGTATACGCACATGTGATTGCACATATTTGTGTATGCAGAGGCCAGGGTAGGAATTGTGACGTGTCCACCTCCACCACTCTCCACCTTACACCTTCCTGAACCTGGAGCTCCAATGATCTCTTTCTACTTTCCCCAGCTCTGGGTTACAGGGGCTCATGTCTGCCCTTTCATGCAGTTGGCGGGAATTTTAACTCAGGTCCCCAGGGTTATGTGGTGTTCTATTTTGTTTTTTGTTGCTGTGATAAAACACTGGCAACAACTAGGAGGAGGAAAGGTTTTATTTGATCTTACACTTCCAGGTCACAGTTCATCACTGAGGGAAGTTGGGCAGGAACTCAAGGCAGAAACTAAAGCAATCCATGGAGGAATGCTGCTTACTGGCACGCTCCCCATGGCTTGCTCATCTTGCTTTTTTTATATAAACCATCTGTCCAGGGATGGCACTGCCTGTATTAGGCCAGATCCTTGAAAAACAATCATTAATAATAATAATAAAAATGATAATGATGATGGCAATAATAATAATATGAAGAAGAAGAAGAAGAAGAAGAAGAAGAAGAAGAAGAAGAAGAAGAAGAAGAAGAAGAAGAAGAAGAAGAAGAAGAAGGAGAAGAAGAATGTGCCCCCACAGACTTGCCTATAGGCCAGAATAATTAATGGAGGCATTTTCTCAATCAAGGTTCCCTTTTCCCAGGCAATACTAACTTGTGTCAAATCAACAAAACAAACCAGGGCATGTAGCAAGGGCTCTTACCCACTAAGCCATCTCCCCAACCCCCAGGTTCCCAATCCCTTTTTGTCAAGAACAGGGTCTCATGTAGCCCAGACTGGCTTCAAACTCAGTATGTAGCTGAAGATGACCTTGAACTCCAGACCCTCCTGCTTTCATCTCCCAGGTGGAGGGATCACAGACGGATACTTGGCTTCTCCCTGGCACTTCTCTGAGATACAAAGTTACCCACGTGCTGTCATTGCCTCTCCCTTGTACTCCCTCCCCCCTGTCTTCAGAGCACAGCACAAAAGAAAGAGCTCTCACCAGGCGGGCGGTGGTGGCGCACGCCTTTAATCCCAGCACTCGGGAGGCAGAGGCAGGTGGATCTCTGTGAGTTCAAGGCCGGGCTGGCCCGATAGCCTCCAAAACAATACAGAGAAACCCTGTCTCGTAAAAACAAACAAACAAAAAAAGAGCTCTCCAAAGCTGTCTGGAGACCCTGTTACATAAACCAGTAGCCCTGTTAGCCTGAGGCGGCGGGCACCCTTACAAACAGACTCCTTTACTAAATACACTTTCAAAATGCCATTTTAATTTCAGGTGAAAATTTATGGGATGAACTGAGCATACCCGGAGGCATTCCTGTCTGCTCAACAGCCTTATGATTCTAAGAACACCAGGTTCTTAGAATCCCATGTGCTTTGAAAGGCACCCTGCCTTTGTTCAGTTTTTGTTGTTGTTTAGTTGTTTTTGTTGCTGCTGTTGTTATGGGGGAGAATAAAGCCCTGTTTCCCTCTGCCGCAGCCTCTCGGGTGCTAGGGTGACAGGCAAGAGCCACCACATGGGGTCTTTACAGCTTGACTTCTCTTGTCTGCAGGTAAATTTGAACGAGGGCATGCATTGTCAGCTTCTCTCAGATCCTAAAAATTATGCAACTGGTTCAGGATTCAAGGTGCCCTCTTTTATTTTCTTTTTAATTGAATTTATTTATGGGGGGCAGAGGACAGCTTGCAGGTCATACTCAGACTGAGGCTTGGTGGCAAGCACCTACATCAGCGGCTGAGCCCCAGGTGTCTCTCCTCTTTTGGAGGAGAGGAATAACTTTCCAATTGAAGGTGTAGTCCCTGATTTATGAAACAACACTTAAGTGACTAACAGCTTGTTAAAAATGCAAGTGGCTGGGCATGACTGAGTAATTCTTTAATCTCAGCACTTAGGGGGCAGAGACAGGAGTAGTCTGTGAGTTACAGCCCAGTCTACATCTCCATAGTAAGTTCTACCCCCAATAAAAAAAAATGCAGAGTCCTGGGGCTAGGGAGATGACTCAACCTCTACTCCAATGCTCTTTTATAAATAATTTTTTTGAAGTGTGAAGTCAGAGCAGTAGGGATTTAAGTGTTTAAGAGCATTTGGCTGATAAAGTCTATGGTCCATGCTGCTACCAGAAACCATGTGGAAGTCCATGATCCATGCTGCAGCCAGCTGTTATGGACAGGGAAGCTCCTTTTGAAGTGCCATTGATGACTCATAATTGAGAATGAGAGACAGCTGAGGCTTCTGTGACAACTTCTCCCCTCTACACACACACACACACACACACATTAATAATAATAATAATAATAATAATAATAAGTAAATAAACAGTCCAGACAGGAAGTCATTGAAGAGAGTTCTTTAAAATTGTGATAAAGATGCTGAAGTCTAGCTCTTCACAGTTGATGGCTCCTGACAGAGTGGGAGAGGATCCAATTATCTCTTTAAGGGGCTGGCCACTGGGAGCTTGACCATGTTCCAAGAGTATCTGGGCAACAGAAATTGGACTTGTGTGAGAGTCAAAGTTATGTTTTAAGTTTTAATTACTGTGCTCAAGAGATCCATAAAACAAAAATGCCTCTAACTTGTAAGTCCCTTGTTCAAGGACAGAAACACTGGAGGCTGTTGTTTATGTTTTCACTCCTCTAAACAAGTTTGTTTGACCCAACTGCACCAGATGTGCTTGATCACATGTAGGTGGGAGGTACGTAGGCAGGAAATACATCAGGATGTGTGCTTGCCCCTGACTGGATCTGATAAGAAATACGAGAGACTTATGCGTTCATCTTTAAAAGCCTCTGCAAAATGTGATTGGCTGACATTTTCTGAGAACCCAAGAACAGACCTATCCAGAGTCTATCATCCTGGCCAGTATTTAATTAGAGCTGTGTCTTAGTTAGGGTTTCTAACTAACTGTGAAGAGACACCATGAACACAGCAACTCTTACAAAGGAAAACACTTAACTGGGGCTGGCTCATGGTTTCAGAGGTTTAGTCCAGTATCATCATAGTGAGAAGCATGGAAAGCATGCAGGCAAACATGGTGCTGGAGAAGGGGCTGACTGAGAATTCTACATCTTGATCTACAGGCAACAGGAAGTGAGTGAACTGTGTCCCACACTGGGTGTAGCTTGAGCATATGATACCTCAAATCCCACCTCCATGGTGACACACTTCCTCCAACAAGGTCACACCTCCTACTAGTGCCATTCCCTATAGGCCGAGCATTCAAACACATTAGTCTGTGGGGGGGCTATACCTATTCAAACCACCACTGCTTGCTTAAAATTTGTCTCAAAATTATGGTAGTAGTCTCATTCTTGCCCAGTGGGAATAACACTTGATGTATTTCTTTTTCTTTTTGAGGGAGGGCACAAGAGTGGGAGGGTGGGCCTGGGAGGAATGGAAAGCAAGTGCGATCGGGGTGCATTGTATGAAATTCCCAAATATTCAAAAAAATGGGGAAAGCTGAGCACTGGTGGCACACACCTTTAGTCCAGGCTGATCTCTGTGAGTTCGAAGCCAGCCTGGTCTACAGAGCGAGTTCCAGGACAGGCTCCAAAGCAAAACAGAGAAACCCTGTCTCAAAAAACCAAAAAGAAAAAAGAAAAGAAAGAGAAAAATATGGGGGAAAGTGCATTTGTCTCCTCTCACGGAGAAACCAGGTTCAGTTGCCAGCACCCACATCAGAGGATTCACCAACCATCTACAACTTCAGTTCTAGGGAATCTGAGCCCCTCTGGCCTCCCTGGGTACCAGGCACACATACATACATGCAAGATACATAAATATAACTTTAAAATAGATCAATCTTAGCCGGGCGTTGGTGGCGCATGCCTTTAATCCCAGCACTTGGGAGGCAGAGGCAGGCGGGTCTCTGTGAGTTCGAGGCCAGCCTGGTCTACAGAGCGAGTTCCAGGACAGCCTCCAAAAGAATACAGAGAAACCCTGTCTCAAAAAACCAAAAAAAATAATGATAATAAAATAAAATAGATCAATTTTAAAAACAAATAAATCTCTAAAAACCTATTCTTTAAAAATAAAATGAAATAAAGCAAAGCCACAGGCTCAGTGGAGTTGGCTATACACAGTTTACCAAGATCAAATCCGGAGCCTGCGGACTGTCATTTGCTCGTTCCACTTCTGAAATTACATACCCTTACTTGCCTTTGGTAGACCTTAATCTTAATTTCTGGCCTTCAAACGTGAAGAGAGTATTATTACCTAACCAAAACTAGAGGATCCTCAAGTTTAAGAACAGAGAGGGCAGGCATCCTGCAGGGAATCAAAAGCCCCGCTTGTGACTTCTGAAGTCCTTCCTAAGATCGCAGAGGCTGGCCCAGTGAAGTTGAGTGCAATATTTAAGGAAGCACACACTCTCAAGGCCAGATCCTGCCCCTGCATGATCCTTAAAATTTGTGTCTGCAACTACTAATTTGTTTTCCGGCAGTGGCTGGAAGATGCCTGCTGTCTGCCTACTGGCTTAGCAGCCACTGGTCCTGGAAGCATCAGACTCACCCTGGACATTTCTAGTTGGAGCAGTCAGGTTGAAAGAACCACCAAGTGTGTGCGACAGCTTCGAGTCAGTTCAGCGTCTTAGCTCTGCTGTTGAGGCTAGTTGGAACTGCCTTCACCTGGCTTTAATTTCCCCAGCAAACTTCTCCACCTAGCAACAGGCAGCCTCTCCCAAGGGTAGGGCTGGATCAGTAAGGAGTGGTCAGGACACTTACCTGCTAGCCTCAGGGTGCAGGTGGGAAGGCCTAGCAGGACTCTCTGGCCACTCCAAGCCAGTCAGAACACCGGGGAAGGGTGAGCCCCTGGGCTAGCGGTCCCTTGTAGCTTCTCAACCCTCCCCAGGAGACTGATCTCCAGCTGGGATTAAAAACCTCTGCCTGGGGAGGGCTGGACATGTTAGGGAATTTCCAGGTTCCCCGGGGCCAGCTCACCTTCAGGATCACCTGGATTTTACTTTTTTTTCTCTTCCTGAATAGTTTCCATCTAGGTTATAAGAGATTTCTTAGAAGGAGGCTTACCCAATCTAGGACTCAGATCTCCCTGCTACTTTTCCACAAAACAGAAAAAAAAAAAAAAGCCGGAACCTGCCGGTTGCAGTCCTGCAGGGTTGTGGTTGTGGCTTGGGGAATGGGCAGTGCCTTTAAGTGAAGAGGAAACCCCCCTCCTTGGGAGGAGGCAGCCATAGATGAGGTGACGGGAGCCAGTGGTCCTAAGAGCCCAGCAGTTCGGAGGCCTGCAGAGCAGATGTGACCAGAGGCTTGCACAGTGTTGAGCACCGGACACCACAGCCACTCTTTCCGGCTCTGCGGTTTCCCAGACATCCCCAGACCAAGGTTATGCCTCCCCCAGTCCCTTTACCCCATGCAAAATAAACAAAAGGAAAAACCAATTTCCAGGAATAACAGTTAGGGAAAGGGAGTGAAGGGAGAAAAGGGAGGGAAATGGGCATGAGAGGCAAGGAGGGGCCCTTATCTCTCTCCTACAGGTCGGGTCCTGCCTGCTTACAGGGCTGAGTCATCATCCTGCTCCACCCAGAACCTTACAGTGCCCACAGGAATGGTTTTCTGAAGCCTGAGTTCTCTAAGGGATAGGCAGGGTTGATCCCACTGGCAGGAAGCTGGGAATCTGGGCTCTGGCCCCTTGCAGACGGCTTGCTGAGCATCTAGATTCTAGAGAGATGTGGTTTCCTGAAGCACCAGAGTAGAAGGGGTCACCTGGGCTGGAGAGAGGACTGTGGCAAGTGACATTCGCTGTGTCCACACCGATGACAAGGGCAAAGTCTGTGAATTGCTCATAGCACTTTATGCTTGGTGCTTCTGACATGATGTTAAGTGTGTTAATGAATGAATGAAATAGTGAATGAAAGAACATGAACACTCATTGACTTACAGTGGGAGTCTATCTCCATAAACCCATTATAAAAAGAGATTTGTTTAACACTGGGATGTCACAGCTGGGCAGGATGTACCATCCCTTCCCTTCATGATGCCCGGGTGACTGAGTGATGTGGCTCACTGTGTTGTCCGTATTGACAGTGTGTCATAGAGGGGATGATGCGTAGCACTTGAGAGACAGGCAGGAAGAGCTTGAGTTTAAGACAACCTGGGCTACATAGCATGTCTGAGATGTTTGAACTACACAGTGAGATCTTGTCTCAAAAAAAGGTTGGGGGGGGATTACAACATTAGTCTGGGAAAAGACAACATTTAAAATTAAAAAAAACTAAAATAAATTTCTATATTGAACTGCTTTTGAACCATTATAGATTTGAAAAGGAAAATCCTGGTAAGTTGTAGGCTGGGAAGCATCCCTTCTGTAGCAAGACAATGGATAAACTTGAGCAGAGTCATGAATTAGGCAAAATTTCTTTTGTCTTTGCCTGCCTGTTTATTTTTTTATTTTTTCCTTCTTTGTTTGTTTGTTTTTGCTCCTGGAGACAGGGTTTCTCTGTGTAGCTCTGACTGTCCTGGAACTCACTCTGTAGACCAGGCTAGGCTGATCTTGAACTCAGAGATCTATCTGCATGCTTGTCTTCTGGGTGCTGGGACTAAAGGCACTTGCCACCACTGCCCAGATTATTTTTCCTTTCCTATTATGTCAGTAAGTGGCATCCATCGTGTTTACACTGCAGACTGACAAGGGTGAAGCCTATGAATTCCTCATAGCACTTGGTGCTTTGTGCTCCTGAGATATTCAATCCACATCTCCTGCTGTTAGTGAGCGAAGGAAATGCTGGTGAGAGAGACCATGAATACTCCCTGATTTACAATGGGCTGCTATCATTGTTGTTGTTGCTATTATCATAGTGCTGGGGACCAAACCCAGGGCCTGAGCTACACACCCTGCTCAAGCTTATGAGTACGTTGGGGTGCACCATAGGATCTAGGCTGCTGTATGCCCCCCCTTTCCGTATGCTTGGTCCATCTGTCTGGGACTTCCCTGGCCCAGGTTTCTTCCAATTCTCAGTCACTTCTAGGGGAAGTTCCCCCAAGGAAGCTGGGGTTCATCCTGACAGATGGCACAGCCTACGCCTCTGGTCCATGAGAAAAACGGCAGTTTCCCAAAACTACTGTGTTTGATGCTTGATATGGATGCCGTGATACTGGTGTGGACACGGAGCTGCTAGTGCGGAGATCACGTGTCTGGAAAACAGCTTGGTAATGAGTATGGAGGACCTAGCACATGTCTGTAATCCCAGCACCCAGGAGGCTGAAGCAGGAGACTCTGCAATGCAAGACCAGCCTGGGTTAGATAATGAGACCCTATCCCCCCACACAAACACATTAGAAAAAAAAAAGAAGACAGCTAAACCAACCAATATGGAAATGATGAAATATTATGATACCGGCATAATGAAATTTTATGTAACTATGGAAATCATCGTTTTAAATCTTTGTAGTGAGATTTGTTAAAATGCATGTTGACTATTGGAAGTTAAAAAAAAGCCAGGGTTCAAAGTTCTTAAATGGCACAGCCTTGCTGGAGGAAGGACACTGGCTCACTTGCTGCTCCCCTTTCTGCATTGTGCTTGCAGATGAGGACCAGATCTTCCCACTTCCTTATTCCTCTGCGGCACAAATTAACTCTTATTCCTTTGGAACATAAATACACTTTCTGCTATACATGGCCTTGGTCTTAGTATTTTATCACAGCAATAGAAAAGTAACTGACACAGAGGGCTTTATTGTTTAGCCCAGGCTGGCCTGTAGCTCACTATGTAGATAAGGCTAGCCAACTCACCAAATTCCTGCTTCCACCTCCAGAGTGCTAGAATTATAGGTATACCTCACCACACTGCCCTATAGGAACAGTCTTTTTTATTTTTTGGATTTATTTATTTATGTGTTTCAGTGTTTTGCCTGCGTGTACATATGTGTACCATTTGCATGCCTAGTGTCCATCGAAATCAGAGGAGGGAATTGAATCCTGTGGAACTGGAGTTATAGATAGTTATGAGCTAACTGTGTAGGTTCTGGGAACCGAACCTGAGTCATACACAATAGCAACAAGTGCCCTTAACAGCTGAGCTGTCTATCTCCTCAGTCCCCAGGAACAGTAGTTTGAGGTCCTTTCTAGTTCTGTAGCCAGTATTTCTGATGCTGACCACTAGTCAGGGAGGTGCCCCTGTGTTTGCTAAGAGGTAGTAGCTTGCAACATACTGCTCAGTTAGTTTGGGTTCTAGCCCTGGTTTGACATTACAAGGATAAAGATCTTTGACAAAATATTTTGTTTCTCAGGGGTGTGTGTGTGTTAGATGATTTATAGAGGTAGGTGGTCATTCTGACAAACTCATTAAGGCAACAAATTCATTGTGAATAAGGCTGTACTGTGTGTAAACAGAAGATTCTTATCCAAAGCCATAGGAATGACTCTATTGGCAGAATTCACATCAGGCAGAGTCATCACACAAACACGGACCTAACAGTTTTGTCTCTACACACTAACACATGGGAGGCGTTACCTGCCCTTCAAAACAGCAAGGTGTTTGCTTGGAAGATGAAGACACGTCCCTTTCTGGAGGTTCTTTCCTCGTCCGGCCTCCTCCCCAAGTTCAAGCTGTCTTCATTGTCTGCTTCTATCTCCCTCCAGTCTCCTCTCTGTGGTTCAGCTGGGCCTATGTCATCCTGGTTCCCTGGTAGGTTGGTGGCGCAGTCACCACAGATTGGGGAAGACAGAGAAGGTGACTCATGCTGAAGGCCCAGTGAATCAGACAGGGTGGGCCAGGGCAGGGGCTTCCCTCCTTGGAACTGCAGAAGCCTTCCTTAGATGTACTGGGGAGAAAGGACCAACCTTGCCCATTTCAGAGAATTCACGGGTGTCTAGACTTGTGAGCTATCCTTGAGCTCGGAGGAAACAGAGGCAGGGAAGTGTGTACACAAAGAAAAGGCAGTGTCTGAGCCTCCAGGGAGGAGCTGGCAGAGGCCGAGCGAGGATCAGACTTTCCCGACCTTTCCTAGCCTGGGTCTGAGTCCTGCTGGCGTTCAGAAGCAAGTGTGCTAAAAATGACCTGGGGCTATGAGACCTTCAGCAAGTGTACGTCTGTTACAGACCCACACAGACACCAGTGGGCACAGCCCAGCATGGGAACCCTAGGATGGCTTGGGAGCCAGCTTGAAGGGCATCGCCGTCGCTTTTCCATTGCCAGCAGTTGCCTCTTCTAGTCTCATCCTTTAGGCACTCCAGGGTGCCTAGCACACTCTTCCCTCTGCAGAGTAAAGAAGAAATATCAAGAATTCCAAGCCAGTCAGCACTATCCATAGTTCCCTTTTGTTTCATGTGCCAGCATGGCGTCGTAGGACACTGCGTTGATTCATGATCATCATAGGCATTCGTTTTTACTTTAAAATAGTGCATTAAATATGATCTATACGGATGAGTGAGTTGTGCATGCTCTTTAAGCTCACCCCGAACTGCTAAAATCATTGACTCTCGGATTTTCTTTTCTTTTTCATATGAGGATGGTGTGATGTGGAGTGTGTTTTGGACACAGGATCCTGTAGTCTGCACCAGCAGCCTAAACTTGTGATTCTCTGGTCCTCCCAGCCCCGTTCCACCCTATGTACACACTCCCCTGCCTCTGTTCCTCCGCGCTCAGGGATGGCTCACAAGTCTAGACACCCGTCCAGGGCCATTTACTTGGGCGATCACCGCGAGTCGCGCGGGGTGGGGTTGGCAGGCTGG